GGACTTTTGGCTGGGGATCACCCCACCCCGGCAGCCATGTCCCCCCATCTGACTAGGTGGGCTATTTTTCTGGCTGCCTACTCATATCGACTCATCCATTGCCCAGGTCAGAGCCTTGGGCATGCCGATGTCCTCAGCAGGTGCCCGCTGCCAGATTTGCTGGAGGACCTGACTCCAGACATTCCTATTCTGCTTATTGACTCTATGGATTCTGGCCCTATCACTTCTGTTGAAGTGCAAGAGCCTCTGCTAAAGATTCTGTGTTGCGAACTGTTATTGGATGGGTGCATAGCAGGGGTGAAATGCTCCTGGTTCAGACCGGATCACCCAATCCGGTAGCGATGGCGGCGGGTGGTTCGGAGAACCGGTAGCAAAAATCCCTGCACCCCCCCCCCACCATGCCCAGCTGAGCCGCATGATCATCAGAGGCTTTTTTTTTTACTTTTAAAAGCATTTTTTCTACAACCTCTTCTGACAAAAAATGCTTTTAAAAGTAAAAAAAAAAAGCCTCTGATGATCGCGCGGCTCAGCTGGGATCGTCAGAGGCTTTTCTTTTTTTTTTATTTGATTTTTATTATAACAAATAGTAATTCACTCAATACATTTTCAGTTCAGTGGTGCAAATACATACATACATACATACATACATACATACATACATACATATGGTGGTATTTGTTTTTCTTTCCAATACTGGGCAAAGGAAATTCTAGCGGCTGCCATTATATGTATAATTAAGTACTTTTTCTTTTTTGCATATTCAATTTTCAGGATTCCCAGGAGAAAGGCTTTTTGTTCGAAATCAAAATTTTCTTTTATTATTTCCCTAATCCACATCCATATCATTCTCCAAAATTTTTGTGCCTGATTACAAGTCCACCAGCAGTGATAGAAAGTACCCAGCTGATAGTTTTCTCCAACCTCTTGGCCGAAGAGGTGGTAAAAAAAAATGCTTTGAAAAGTCTCTGACGATCCCAGCTGAGTTGCCTGATCGGCAAAGGCTTTTCAAAACATTAGAAAAAATGTTTTGAAAAGTTAAAAAAAAAAGTTGGCCATGTCCACCCAGTCACATTACCCCCCCCCCCAAGCTATGCCCACAGAACTGGTAGTAACAAATTTTACATTTCACCCCTAGTGCATAGGGGGTGGCCGAAAGGCTCTGTTGGCAGGGAATTTAAATTGTTTGTCTGTAAACAACATGAGCTGTCTACGCAACGGGGTTGTTTGCTATGGGGTGACTGGGTGGTGATTCTGCTGTGTCTAAGGGAACAAGTATTGACCACATTGCATATTGGTCACTCGGGAATTGTGAGGATGAAGGGATTGGCCAGGAGCTATGTGTGGTGGCCCATTATGGATGATTGCATTGATGAATGGGTCGCCAAGTGTACTCCCTGTCAAGAGCCTCGCCCTGCTCCCCCAATGGCCCTGTCCAAAGAGTGGGAAAGGCTCCAAGGACCATGGGCCCCCATTCATATCGATTTTGCTAGCCCATTCCATGGTCAAACCTTTCTGATCGTGGTGGACGCTTATTCAAAGTGGCTGGAGATCATTCTAATGCACTCCACCACTGCAGAGGCTGTAATCAAAGCGCTCTGGAAACTATTTGCCATGCATGGGCTACCAGACACCCTGGTGCCAGATAATGGGCCTCAACTTACAGCTGTGCAATTTGAGGGGTACCTAGCTGAGTTAGGGGTCTGTCACGCATTCACAGCACCTTTTCATCTGGCCAGTAATGGTCAAGCTGAAAGATTTGTGAGATCGGCCAAAGAGGCATTGGCCAGACTCGGACTGGGGGACTGGCAAGCCAGGATTGATACTTTTCTGGCAGCCCAACATGTTACCCCATGCATTGCAATGGGACAAAGTCCCACAGAGCTCTTAATGCACCGGAGACTCCGTTGCACCCTAGATAGGCTGCACCCCAATTACTCCCCTGAGGGGTACATGGAAGCCGAAAGTAAGACTAGGAGTTTCTCTTTTGGGTCCCCGGACTTCGCAAGGAATTATGCGGACGGTCCCCTCTGGGTGGCTGGGCAGATCTCTGACATTACCGGGCCCAGGTTATATATAGTCAAAGTCAGTAATGGAAGGGTATGGTGCAGGTCAATTAGAATCAGGGAACGCCCTAGTCACCTGCGTGATTATGTATGTAAATAGTTTGGTAAAATACTTTCTGGGAGGGGAGGAGTGTTATGTATTTAATTTTGGAGGGAAATTAGAGCGGAAAAAATCTCAATGCTCATTGGTTAAGACACTTGGAGAGTAGCTATATAAGGAGAGCTGTTGAACTGCGAAGTTGCTGGATTCTCACTGTACATTAAAGAGTTGTTGTTCACTTCGACCTGGCTCCTGTCTTCTCACTTGCCCGATTTAACAATGATGATGCCAAAACAATCATATCTACAGAATAACCACTATATTATGTAAAAATACTACAATAAGTACTATGGTATTTAAGCCCTGACATCTGATCAAATAAGACATGATGCTACATTTGCATCACCTTTCATTATTTGCTGCCCAATGTATGCCCATAGAGGTTCTCTAAAAAAAAAAATTCCTTTCTCATATAAATAGCCCATGTGGCCTTCATGTTTTAATATAACTCTTAAGTCCATTTTGTAATTATTTGGCATACTAACACTAAGAGAAAATGAACCAATAATTCTAATGTAAGTAGAAACAGTGGTCATAAGTGGGGCTCCATGAATTGATTGCATGTCTTCATCATTGCTGGTTATCTGTGTAGACGTTCCATCTGTCATGCCTGAGCTTCTGTAGCTATGTTCTCTCTTTATATTGTTTCCCTTTTTCAGAAGGCCATGCTCAATGAGCTGGCAGACAGTGGTATGTGTTTTGCATGGGCTCACTTCCTCAACAGCCACCCTCAATACTTAGGGTCTCCTTTAGTGGAATAATGTGTGTAGAGCCTTAGTATATCAGTAGCAGGTCCACAATCTTGGTTTCGGTGATAAGCTTATCTGTGATGACACGGGATTTATTTACAGAAGCGGAGAACTTGGCTGCACGTGACTAAGTAATTAGTTAAATTTAGGGCAGTGTTATTTTATCATTGTGTATTCTGCAGGGTGACCTATGCCCTCTTGGTCATGTCTATATTTATTCTTATTTTATTGTAAGACAAGTTCTCCTAATCTTTTCAGGAAAATTACATGGGCTGCTCTGTATTTTATTTCTCATAAGAAATGTTTATTAGATATCTTTAGTAATTTTATCTTCTAAAAAAGATTGTGTTCTAACTTGAAGGATTGTTCATTATACATAAAAATAAAAATTATTATTATTATTATTATTTATTGAATTTCTATACCGCCCTACTCCCGAAGGACTCAGGGCGGTGTACAGCCATGAAATAAAGCACATAGATATACAAAATTTAAAATCAAATAAAATGAATTAAATAAATTTGGCTGAATTAATACCCATAATTTAAAATACCCATAATTTTAAAATACATTAAAAATTTAAAATTTACACTTAAAAGGGAGAAGATTTAGGCGAGGCCCGCTTGATGAAATAAAAGCGTCTTCAACTCGCGGCGGAAGGTGCGCAGATCCGGGATCCTCCGTATCTCTGGGGGGAGCTCATTCCAGATCGTCGGTGCCCCCACAGAGAAGGCTCTCCCCCTAGGGGCCGACAGCCGACATTGTTTGGCCGACGGCACCTGGAGGAGCCCTTCTCTGTGGGAGCGTACTGGTCGGTGGGAGGCTGTTGGTGGTAGTAGGCGGTCCCGTAAATAACCAGGTCCTAAGCCATGGAGCGCTTTAAAGGTGGTAACCAGAACCTTGAAGCGCACCCGGAAGACCACCGGGAGCCAGTGCAGCTCGCGCAGGAGAGGTGTTACATGGGAGCTCCATGTTGCTCCCATAACCACCCGCGCGGCCGCACTCTGCGCCAGTTGGAGCCTCCGGGTGCACCTCAAGGGGAGCCCCATGTAGAGAGCATTACAATAGTCCAGACGAGAGGTGACGAGGGCATGAGTGACTGTGCGTAACGAATATCTTTCATCAATCTGGATATTAGCGAGTTACATACTGTCATCCGAATATTTAATCACTAGCCTGAACTTATTGAACCTTTCTTTCCTTCTTTGTAAGGCTGATTTTTCACTTAAATTTATATCTACTTCACCCTTTTTCTTTCTTTCTTTCTTTCTTTCTTTCTTTCTTTCTTTCTTTCTTTCTTTCTTTCTTTCTTTTGTGACAGTAACCTATCATCACATGGTTTCTTGTACTCTTGAGGGGATATTGTTGGAGACTTGTTATGGGTCTTCTCTACCCACAATTACCCCTTTGAACCTGGAGTTAATTCAGTATATGGAAATAGACTCTACACTTTTGGAATATGTCAGGTTATACCAGCAATCAAGGAAACAATCTGAAAAGAGGTAGATAACAATAGAACCGTAGGGCTGAAAAAGTCATTTAACCCACAATGTCTAACCCTGTGTAGTACAGAAATCCTAATTAAACAAAACATTACCAATGGCTGTCCAGCCTTTTCTTGAACGTGTCCTGTGAAGGGGAGTCCACCTCCTCAGTGGGTAATGGTTGAACTGTTCTTGTTCTTGATGTTTTTCTTGCTCTTGCAGAATTGGCTGCATATTATTGTTTTGCAAAAAGCTGAATGCAAACTCAAATAAATAAAGCTTCATTTATCCACTCCATTCTAGCTAGCATCCTTTCATGTATACTTATTTGGAAGCCAAATATATCTTGTACCTAACACTAGAGGTCTCCTTGGCCAACAGCCTGAGAAACAGCGAATGAATAAAATATTCCATCTCATTTTAGTTTCATTTGCTTTATCTTATAATTTTTTTGTCTTATTTATTTTAAGCTCCATTAAGTGGAGCCAAGATCAGGTTTTCCCCCCCCAGCAAAATATAATGTAAATCCTTCCAAAATATGCATTTAAATCTCTTCTAAGGTTAAAAATTGCAATTCTGATTTTTTTTTCTGTGTGTTTTCAAGGTCAAGAACCTTCAAACAAATCAAAGCTAGGACCTGTGGAGCTGACTGTAGTTATAACCATACCAGTGTGTGTGTTGTCTATTGTTTTACTGCTGGCAGCCTACACGTGCCAAGGACACTTCTGCAGACACAGAAAGAAAAGAAGGCCAAATATTGAAGAACCTCTCTCTGAGTGTAATCTGGTGAACCCAGGAAAATCTCTCAAAGATCTAATTTTTGACATGACAACATCGGGTTCTGGATCTGGTATGTTTATGTGCCCCAGAGTCAATTTCAGTTTTCTTAGGTGTATAGTTTTTTCCCACCCTTTAAGGTGGAGATCCCTGTGATGCATTTGTGCATGAGGACAGTTACTATATCATAAGGGTGTCAAACTCAAGACCCAGGGAGGCGGATCTGGCCATGGGGTGTTTAGTTCTGGCCCACAGGGCTGCCCTGGAAACAGTGAAGGACTAGCCCACAGTGCCTCTGCCAGTAAAAACGGAGCTCAGGAGGGCAGTGTGCAGCCCTCCCGAGCTCCATTTTAGCTGGCAGAGGGTTGCAGGAGACCATCGCAGCTGGAAATGGAGCTTGGGAGCTGTTTTTGCTGGCAGAGCATTCGTGCCAGGCACCCCCGACATGAGTGACATCAAGTTGGCAACACCCACTCTGGCCACGGCCACTCTGGTCCCCCGAGATCAAACACAATACTAATGCAGCCCTCAATGAAATAGAATTTGACACCCCTGCTATCTAGGAGTTGATGCAGACTTGATTCTTTCTGTGTCAGAAATAAGTACCCCAAGATCACACACAGGATCAAAAGGCTATTGAAATAATCACATTCCACAACATTGCTCCACATCCCATGGAAATAGGGCGAAATAGTTTAGTTTTTAAAATTTACATCACATTGATACACACAGAGAGAGAGAGTTTATATACTGTATGTACCTATACTGTATGACCCTACAACACTTTTAAATAAAGAGATCCCTCAGTCATTTCATAGTTTGTTTGTTTTGTTTTGTTTTTTAAAATTCAATCTCCATCTACTTCTATAGGAAAGGGTAATCTTGAATAAATACTAAAACGGGGGTTGGGGAGGAACAGGCAGTATATTTATGTTTATGTTTATGTTTTATTAAATTTGTATACCGTCCTTCCGAAGGACTCAGGACGGTGAACAGGCACAGGATAAAATACAGAAATACAAAAGTTAGAAACAATTTAAAACCAAATTTAAATAACAATTTAAAAAGGACTTCTCTGATGTACTATTATGCATAAGGATTGAAAGCTCAAACTTGACACTGAACCTGAATAGTTGCCTAGTGCAAAATTATGCCTAAGTTAATTTTTGAGCTCCAGAAAAAACACAGCAAGAGGGTTCTAAAATCATTAGGTTTTCTGTCCCTTCTTACAGACAGTTGTATGTACCTTGCTGTACAATGGCCCAGTGAGAATGTCTCTAGAGCACTGATTCCTCGTTAAGGTCTTTACTTTGCCAGAGCTGAGTGGGAGAAGTTTCATTGCACCAGCTGCTATGGTAACTAAGAATAAGCCCTTATTTGTGATGCATCTTATAAGATGTTGCCAAAGTTGCCCTTTATGAAGAACTATGCTTTTTTTATCTTTCAAAACTGCCCGTAAATGCCAAGTCTCAGAACTGAGGCGGTACGTAAAATCTTACTTTTTTATTAGTGGGAAAACGCTTGTCTTGGGATGAACCTTTGGCCCTACAGAGAGTAAGCTGCACAGATTCTCATGCATATTGCATGACTCTTGCATATGGTCTGGAGCACTTTTGTAGTGGAGCAAATCTCTTGTTGTTTGGATGAGGCACATCTATTACTCAAGAGGTATATGAAATGCAGCGTATGACTATCATATAAAATAGGCATGCACAACATAGGGAGTATGGTCTGAAGAGCACCTCTGCTGAAGGGTAGTCTTTAATATGACATAAAGGGCAAATTGTTAAATACATATTTACTTAAACTGTATCTAATTGCTATTGCTGAATTGAATCTTAGCACCATTTGTTTTTGTTTCAATCCGTTCTGCTGTTGTCCTGTCCCTTCCCACAGTTTTAAATTGCATTTGGGAATATACTTTAAAGTATTCTGACAGCATTTTTTCTGGATGGTGTAAATCTAAATATATGTTAAGTAACAACCAATTTATTATTTATAATTATCTGCCCAGAGTGATAGGACATGGGCAGCATACAATTTTAATTAATTAAATATTATTATTATGTTTGGTCACCCGGTCAGCCTGATATTTAGACTGGATTTGGCATTTTTATTGACCAATTGAGTTTTCCAAAATCATCTTGTCAGTTAGGACCTGATTTTTTTTTTTAATTTCCTCTGCTGTTTGGGCAGTTTCCTTTTGGCTCAGGTGGAAAAAGATTGTTTTCAGCTAGTTGGACTGCATTAGACACAATGGCAATCTGAAAGTTGTTGGTAAGCAGGTAATTGGCCTGACGTTGCCTGATGCTGCCCCAGATAGGCTTTGCCAGATGTTAGCCAATCTTCAATTTCACCTCCTTGCAGTATGCTATTAAACTGCTTGGCAATGAGTGGATGTAGATCAGTCAGATGTTTCAACCAAAACCTATGTCAATTCATCTTCACCTGCTACTGACCAATTCTTAATCTTCCTTACCCTTTTCTCCACTATGTGTGCTGGTATTACAAGATCTTTTGTTTCAGCTTCTTTTCCCCCTTATCTACTTCCTTTATCCAAGCTGCATTCTTGTTGTATTTCTTTGGGTTGGCCTATAGCTGCACCCAGAACTTCACTGTTTTTCTTGGTCAGATGTTGGCTGCTTCCTTGCACTCTTCCATTGAAGGATTTGTAAAACATGTTTCTCATTTGACTGAAACTGGAGAGCCTGCCTGTAGAGCAATTCCAGCTTCAAATCCTACTTGGATATGGCTTTTATTTGCTACTTTATTACTTCCAGTGCTTCTTTGATCTTCCTGTTTCTAAGTTAATATTTCTTGATCAGGTATTTTTTTGGTCTTCTTGTTCTTCAGCTTTTATTTGTTCTGGCTTGCTTGGGTCTAATCTTAGCATGCTAATCTTATTTTTCTAACCTGATCTCCCATTTTGGTGGTGCACTGACTTTTTTCCTTGTTTGCTGATTTTGCTTCCAAGATCTTCAATTATGACGTGCAGCTACGCTGTACGTCAGTTTTGTTTCTTGTAGTGAGCTGGTGTTTATATTTGAGATTACAGTATTGGCATGTTTTAATACTTGTGCTAATTGTTTCTTTGGAAGAAATTTCAATGCAGGCAACCTTATTCTTTGTGTGTGTGTGTGTGTGTGTGTGTGTGTGTGTGTGTGCTGTTCGAGATACTCAGCTATTTTTTTGTTTTATGTCAGCTATTTTTATTTTTGGTTAGAGGGCTTTGTTCTTTCTGAGGAGCAGGCAGAGGTGCCTGGTTTGGAAAGGAAAACTATTCAACAGCCTATGCTGGCTTCCTCTACTGTCATCCCCCTTTCTCCAGCTGAATTACTTTGATTTTTTTTTTTTTTTTTTTGCCCTGGGTAGACTTTTGCAGTTCTTCCAGTTCTGCTTCGGTGAATATTTTCTTTTGCATTATAATTGACACTGATCTGCTAGCTTCTGTTCAATTAGGTCTGATTCTGGATGTTGTACTTTCCAAAACTGATGCATTCTTTGTGATATCCTCTTCTCATTGGATTTGATTTGTAGTAACAGACCACTTTATTTGTTTTCAATCTTCACACATTATTATTACAGAACAATAGAAACTTCCATGGTAAAATTTCTGACAGTGCCCCAATTTCTGTCTGTCCTATCATCCTGCCTGTCTATCCTATTATCTGTCTCAGGGGTCCCCAATCCCCATCCTTGGCCTTTTAGGAACTGGGCCTCACAAGTGAGTGAAGTGTCATCTGTGCATGCATGGGATCTAGATAGCATGTTAAATAACACCCCCTGGTCCATGGAAAATATTTTTTTTCACTCAACCAGTCCCTAGTGCCCAAAAGTTGGGGACTGCTGATCTATCATGCCTGTCTGTCCTATCATCTGTCATCTAGTAAAGCCACTAGTTGGATTAGAAATTTTAGCTGCCTTCTGAATATTCTGAATATATAACTGTAGAAAAAAGAGAAATTTGCCAGGGGAAAATCATTTTTGACATTCCAAGTAACATCTGACTATGAGCCAAGTGTGGAATGGGTTCTTCATTATCAATCTACAATAATGGACATTTCTACAGTGCTTCCAGACATGTTTTGGCTTCAAAAGTCAGACTCATGATGACAATTCCCGGATGTTTTGTGCCAGTAACTTTTGTTCTGAAATAAGTATAGATTTAGATGGAGCTCTTGCTTAAAACTGTGCTTAATGTGAATTGATGTCAGTGACTGAACTTTCATTTCTTCTAAGCTGAATCATCTAAGTGCTGCCTTAAAAAAGACCTATTCTATTGAAGAGAGCTTAATGAGGGTTATGCCACTCTTAGTTGATATCATTAGGCAGCACCTGGAACATGCTTCCAGACAGTCACTGACTATAATACCTTTGAGGTGATGCATCACTCTTGACCCTTAAGAGCCTATTTTGATCACTGGGACAAATGGCCAGAGTTGCATAAGGTACTTCTCATGCTACCCTTGTATCTAAATCTCATTTGGCCTATTGTTAGTCGAACAAACCTTTATATTTACCTGTATATCTGTCTGTCTGCCTCTGCCATGTTTCCATTTCTGAAAGAAGCAGTTTAGGTAAAAAATAAGACCTTCCTATGTTCATGTATCTATTAGCATTCACTGATAGCTGGGCTAAATGCTCTGGATAGCAAGGTGGGTGGCATATAAATTTAATAAATAAATAAACCTATACTCTGCATCTAAGGTAACGTAATAAGCATTTTACTTTTTCAGTGAAATGCTTTCCCACCTAATTACTCTGCATATGCCGAGAAGCACATCCTCTACTCTCCAGTATGTTTCTATCCCAAATGGAAAACAAAGGTTTAAAAAGCCATCTCCTGATTCCATTTTTCAGTCTGATGAGCAGTTTATTTATCCCTGTGCTGGCTGTAGTTGCTGAGCATTGTAACTCAGCAACAACTACAGGATCACAGATTTCCACTGCTGCTATAGAAGGCCAAAATAGATTTGTTGCTGGGTGAGGCACAACAGCAGTTGACTATGTCATTATTAGGTATGAAATGAGAAAAAAAAGTTTGGAAAATATTTAATGTGGGTTAACTTTCATGAATGCAGAGAAGTCCTATTTGGAAATTGAGAGTTACTTACATTGCAATGATGGTGAGTTCTTATAACGACATTATTATAATGTATGAAAAATGCACCCCTCCTTACAGTCAAACTCTGGGTACATAATTTCCCCTTGAATTTTCCATGCTGAAAAAGCCTCCTGCTTTTGAGTTTGTTCAAGGGCGTGTGATAGAAAAACACTCAGTCTTGTCGCTGATTTGAATGAGATGAGATTGTATTAGCATAATATTAAGCCTTTTAAAGAAGAATGGTGTGTTTTTTTAAAATTAAAAACTGTAATTTTACATTTTTCTCATTAGGTTTACCTCTCCTTGTGCAAAGGACAATTGCAAGGACTATTGTTCTTCAAGAAATCGTTGGAAAAGGTCGATTTGGTGAAGTCTGGCGTGGAAAATGGTGCGGAGAGGATGTTGCAGTGAAGATCTTTTCCTCAAGAGATGAAAGGTCTTGGTTTCGTGAAGCAGAAATCTACCAGACAATCATGCTGAGACATGAAAATGTCTTGGGTTTTATTGCTGCTGATAACAAGGGTATCGTACTTCCAAACAATTTTGCAATGTTTGTCTTGTGTTGGATTAGATTAGTGGAATTCTTTTTCTATTCTTTTTTTTTTTTTAAAGATTTGTGGAAAGAGGGAAAAAACGGAGGCTTCTTACATCTGTTTTGAAAAGCTTAGCTCAGCAATGGCGAACTTTAGAGAATTCTCCTCTGTTGTCTCTGTAGCCTCTGAAAACTGTGAAAACATGTCCCATTCTTGTGCAATTTCTTTTTTGGAGGCTGCACAAAAGCACACACCCCAGCCTTCTGCAAATCACACAAGAATGGGGCTTGCCATTGGGAATAGTTGTTGTAGGGTGTTGGTGAACACTGGTGTATCACCCAAAGTGCTGGGGCATGTCACCTTTGATATGTGGGTCTTAGGTTCACCATCACTGGCTTAGTTTATCATGCTTTGGATCTGGAAAATAGAGGAAAGACATATTCTGTAGTTGTGCTGTGAGTAAGCACTAGTCCCATATCCATTCTGCCTGGACAACAAAGATGATCAGTGGCCTTTGGGAAGCACATGCACATATATATGAGATATATATATACTGTGTGTATGTGTGTGTGTGTGTGTGTGTGTGCATATGATGTTTCTGTGTGTTTGATGTAAATATTACAGCCTCTAAATATCCTTATCCTTAAGGACCTTGGAGTAATCATTTCTAAAGATCTAAGTGCCAGAGCCCACTGTAACAACATTTCCAAAAAGGCATTAAGAATTGTTAACTTAATCTTGCGTAGCTTCTTCTCTGGTAATATTGTACTACTAACTAGAGCATACAAAACATTTGCTAGACCAATTCTCGAATACAGCTCATCTGTCTGGAACCCGCATTGCATATCAGACATAAATACAATTGAGAGAGTCCAGAAATATTTCATGAGAAGGGTCCTCCATTCCTCTACCTGCAATAAAATACCTTATGCCACTAGACTTCAAATTTTGGGCTTAGACAATTTAGAACTATGTCGGCTTCAGTCTGACCTAAGTGTAGTACATAAAATTATCTGCCACAATGTCCTACCTGTCAATGACTACTTCAGCTTTAACCACAACAATCACGAGCAAATAATAGATACAAACTCAAGGTAAACCGCTCCAAACTCGATTGCAGAAAATATGACGTCAGTAACAGAGTGGTCAATGCCTGGAATGCACTACCTGACTCTGTGGTTTCTTCCCCAAACCCCCAAAACTTGAACCTTAAACTGTCTACTGTTGACCTCACCCCATTCCTAGGAGGTCTGTAAGGGGCGTGTATAAGAGCACCAGGGTGCCTGCTGTCCCTGTCCTAATATTCCTTTTTACTCTTACTCTTTTCATGTATTCAAATTATGTTTATACTTTTACCTGTTATCTTATATATGCTTGACAAATAAAATAAATAAATAAAATAAACCCTATTCCTTTTCATTCCCTTAGATTTCTAAGGAGTTGATGAAACAGGTAGGACAACCTCTGAAACAGATTAAACAAAAATTAAGGCCTGTCTGAAGCTTAACTCACAACAGTGGAGACAACAAATAATTGCTCTAGTGCTGTTGTTTCCACATAGATGTGGTCACTGCTTTTCCCCCCTATGCTGTGAGACATTTCCTTTGTCAAGCTGACAGAGAAGGAGAGTTAGAATAGTCAGTGGCTAGCTAGGAGCACTTTGAATAAATCTTTACGGATAAAATCATTTGTATCGTGACCTGGGCTTTAGTGTTGGGGAAGGCCATATGAATGACACTTAATTGGTCTTCTTACTTTGAATTCTTCTAGCTTGTAGATATTAAAGGATAAGGAAAGCATAAATATTAAGTAAGTTAATATTTAATAATAACTAAGTTCCCTGATAGCAGGGAGGGTTTCACTGTGCCTAAAAGAGGAAACTTTGGCTTCTGTTGAAGAAGCTCCCTCACTCTCTCTGGGCAGTTATAACAAATTACAAATATTCTATTTCTGGAAAGCAAACTAAGAAGGCATGGTACTTATGACCTGGACCCATTTCAATTGCATTTCTGGCAATTGATGAATGGCATGCTAGAAACTGGCTGCAAGGAGTGGGTAGGTACTACACAGCCTTCCAAGTTCTCCTGTGCGCCTCAGTGATATTTTTTTCTGAATTCTTTGCCAAGGTTGGACCTTAGGGGGCACTGTTTCACAATAGTTGTAGTTCTTCTGTCAGGTTTTGTCCAAAACTTGGTGCTAGGAAACTACTGTTTGACATCTAGGCCATTGATTTGCAATATCTACCAGTTTTTTCATTTTGATCTGTGTGCTGTTCAGTTTTCCTAATGAAATTGATGGGGGAAATCATTCTGAGTTTTAGAATAGGTCGTCATTATTAAGTTGATGATACCAAGCTCTGTTGTTCCTGATCATGCAGCTTCAGGGAAGCTGCTAGAAATCTTTCAATGTTGTATAAACGTGGTGATAGATTGAAGCCGGGGTGGGGGGGTGGGGGCGCGGGGGGGGGGGAAGCTGAAATTAAATTTAGGCAAGGCAAAGCTGCCATTATAAAACTGAATCCCAGGTTTGAGACCGTTTTGTACAGGGTTACACTCTCTTTAAAAGGCTAGATCCACAAACTGAAATTATTCCTCAGCTGGAATGTCCCAAGATTTGTAAGTAGCAGTCACGACAAGAAATATGTTGGCAGGTTGCAGCAACTCTTCTTGAATTGGTTGGATTTGGTGACAGTTATCCATGTCTTGGTTACAGCCTGATGTGACCGTTGCAATGCACTTTACATAGGACTCCCTAAAACTTGCAACCAATGCTAGTTGATATTCAATGCAATGATTGGGGTGGGGGTGGGGGGTTATTATATTATTTTATTATGTGATTATTCTCTTTTATTAGTTTTATTGTTTTATATATGAGGTTTTTATATTCCGGTAAGCCACCTTGAGTCGCCATGTGCGAATAGGTGGCAATATAAATTTCCTTAAATAAATAAATAAATAAATAAATAAATAAATAAATAAATAAATAAATAAATAATAGCTGGACTGCTGATTGGTGCAAGGTGTCATATTGTAAACGTACATAGTTTGCTGCTAAGTTCTCTGTTCTTTAGTTCAAGATACTAATATTTGGGTGTTCATCTCCCAAAGCTAGAGAAAACCCAACAGCAAGATATGTACTACAACCTTGCCTTCCCCTCCCCTCCCCAGGAAATTCCTATGATGTACATACCAGAATAGTTTGCCTTTCATCATGCTTTTAATTGTTAATTAACAGCAGGGTTAATTTTTATTTATCTTTGTACCATCTGTACTCTGATTTTATTAGCTATCCCCATACCTATGTTAACAGAGAAAAAAATGTAAAAGTAAAGTGTGATTCCTGCTAGAAAGGAGGGGTATATATGAAATGAATCAAATAAAAAAAATTATAAATTGTATTTGATGCCAATAATAATTGAAAATAATATACAATTTTAATAAATGAACATAAAAACAAATATGAGGATATAGCCTAGCATAGCTTTGGCTTCTATAGACCTAAGTTGCTGCATTCAACAGCTAACTTTATAAACGAAACGAAATAAAAATGTCAAGGAGAAATTGGCCGGCTGCAAGGGAGAAACCCGATCTGTCCAAAACCCAACTCAAAAGGTCCCTATCTCATCACAGGCAGAGGGTATTCATACTTTTTCCAGGAATCAGAGATGCTATCAATATAGCTTTGGGAATATTTTAAGTCCTCACTCAGTAGCAGCTTTTGCATACTTTATTTAAATTCTTTCCTGTGCTTGACATTATTCGGCTCACTTTTAATCTGCTCAAGAGAATTATTGTTACTGGGTGGTTAAACCCATAAATCGGTTAAGAATAAAATATGTGAAAGGGTATATGGACCTGCGGGAACAAGGATAGAAAGATCGTGAGAAGTATAATGAATAGTGTAGTAAATGGTAAACAGAGCTGTGTTTCTTTTTTCTTATCACTCGCCTTTAATGTCTTCGGATGACTGCTTCTTAGCCTTTTTTCTACATGCTGCATAGTGTTGCCTAGTCAAAGAAATAGTGTGAAGAGAATGTAGATATGTGCAGAAGTTAGTGGAACCATAACTTATGTAGAAAATAGAAGTATTATGGCAAATGTTCAGTGGGTGGATAGCAAAGGACATTGCTTATTGGTTCAGGAAAGAGGCGAAGAATTTAATCAAGGTCAAAGTACCCATTCTCAGTTAAATTTAAATAAAGTTGGACGTGGCTGCATTTCAAAGACTATTTGTTATCTTATATTTGTTTTGTGTGTTTTTTACACACACTATAAAGTGCTCTTAAGATATAGTCCTGTGGTAGGATGAATTCCAGAGGCTCTTTTAAATAAATCGCCTCCTGTGGGTTTTTTTATTCTGACCAAGGAGCAAATATCCTCTGGCCTCTTGGTTATATTTTCAGGGGAATTGTAGCATTGTACTATTAAGGGCTGTAGTAAAGAGGAGTGGAGGCCAGTGAATATGGCTTCTTTCTTCTCCTGTTGGTGTGCAGCTGCTGGGACTTTGGGCTCAGAGAGATTTTGACCAGTTAATTACATTCTGCTTAAATCTATTGGTTGTGCTGGAATCAAGAATATACAATTCTGGATGGAGATTTCCAAAGAAGGCAAGACTTTTATAGCAGCTAAGCAATTAAGAGAAGTAAAGGTACTACAGGTCTCTTTCTTTTCCTGTATGAACAGTTTTTTTTTTTTTTAAAGAATGATATCTGATCCTTAAAAAGTTGATTGCTTCTTTGGTTGGAGAAGAGCCATCATGATCTTGGGTCTATTTATTTCCTAAAACATTCTTAAATAGCCTAGTTTAAAAAACCCCAGAAATCATTTCCACTTTTTGCTATAATAGTTCCATATGCCTTAAACCCATTTTTGTTTCATGAGAATGCCACATGAATGGGTGCTCATCTGACAATTTGAGATAGTCACAATTTTACTATCATTTAAATGTCTTTGTCTTTGAAGAGAAGGATCCATGACACATAGAAGCAGCATGTCAATGAATTTGTAAAGATACTGTCTAAAACCGTGATGGCGAACCTATGGAACGCGTGCCCAAGGTGGCACGCAGAGTCATCTTTCCGGGCACACGAGCTGTCACCCAATTCACCTGCAGCTGCATATGCGCATGCGCCCCAGCTGGTGTTTGGGCCTCCGGTGCGCATGCGCACAGTTCTGGAGATCCAACTGGTCTTTGGAGTTCTCTTGTGCATGCGTGTGTGAAAGCTGTGCAAATGCTCAGATGGTGCAATTGCGTGCACAGTTCATAGGGGAGCCGTGCAAAAGCCATGTGCATGCACACATGGTGCGGTTGCGTGCGCAGCACACGGGGCGTGAGAAAGCTGTGCACATGTGCAGATGGTGTGGTTATGCATCAGCGCACAGGGGAGGAGCTGCACGTAAGTAAAGTGCGTCTCTGTTTGGCACTCAGTGAGTAAAAGTTTCGCCACCACTAGTCTAAGGAAACAGTTAGCGTGGCTGGACTATAGCACTTCAGTTTAAGTCCTATAAAGAGGCAGATGAACTACAAGGCAGATAAACAGTCAAAACATACCCCTGCCTGCCCTCCCTCTAATGCAGCGGTCACCAACTAGTGGTCCGTGGACCACTGGTGGTCCGTGAGAAAATTTTGGTGATCCGCAGAAAAATTATTTGCATTTTTTATATTGCACTAAATCAGGGGTCCTCAAACTATGGCCCCTGGGCCGGATATGTGCAATGAATGTTTGTGTTGCTGCAGAGAGTCTCCCCCTTCGGAGTCTTTTTGTGTGGGTTGGAGGGGGACACAAATTCCGACTTGGGGTCTGCTTCAATCTCCTGGTGTGGGGCTTTGGGCAAAGACTGGAGGGAAGCACCGCTGCTGGCAGTGAAGAGCCGGAGGACCTTGTTCCAGTGGGGCTGCATCATGGCCAAGAACTGGCTGACCATTTCAGCCCGCTGTGCCTCCAGGCGCCAGTACCTGGCCTTGCACTCCCGCAGGTCTTCCCTCTGCTTGGAAAACCTATGCTCCTAGTCCTCAGTGAGGTGCTTCTGCTGAGCCTCCTTCTCAGCCAGATTCAATTTGAACTGAGCCAGCTGTTTTGTCAACACTTTTTTGTGGTGGCTGCTTAGCTCCAACAATTAAGAGGCCTGGGGGGCAGGGGAGGAGTGGCTGGGAGGGAAGGAGTAGAGGTCGGCGAGGCACCCTCGACGCGAGTGACATTGAGTTGGCCACGCCCACCCAGTCACATGCCCACCTAGCCACGCCCACCTAGCCAGACATTAGGCAGACCATATTAGTGGTCCGCAGGATTTAAAATTATGAATTTAGTGGTCCCTGAGGTCCGAAAGGTTGGTGACCTCTACTCTAATGCACTGATTTTCACTAATGAGTCTTATGCTCGTAAATATAACTCATGCTGATCCCATGCATGTTTATTTGGAAACCGGCCTCTGCATTCAGTGAGACGTATTCCGCAGTGTTGAGGATTGAGGCTTTAATATATGAAACTCCATTCTAGTATGTTTTATATAGCCAGGTTAGTAGTGCCAAATCTTTCCTACCAAAAATCAACAGGTTTTGCAAATCTGATGCACCTTGGAATGATTAAACCAACTGTACATGCTTTTTTTTTTTGTAATCTCTCTCCATAGACAATGGGACCTGGACTCAACTGTGGCTTGTAACTGAATATTATCAGCAAGGCTCTTTGTTTGACTACTTAAACAGCAATACTGTGACAGCTGATGAAATGATTAAGATGACATTTTCAATAGCCAGTGGTCTAGCACATCTGCACATGGAAATCGTTGGAACCCAAGGTATAAAACCCTTTTCAATGCAGTTTTCTTTGTGTTGAAGTCATAAGATTTAGGAATAACTTGAAGAGAAGTTAGAGGGATATATTTAATGGGGCAACCAAGCTTAACTCAACTCAATTGACATCCATACATCGGTTTAACCAGGAATAATAATTGTCCTCCTCTTCCAGCAGCACTATAATACCTGGCAACTTTAGGAGAGGCGAAAACTTGCCTTCTCCATTAGATTGAGTATCACTTGCTCCTCCTCTCTCTGATTTACAATCTGGGATTGGCATGTGACTAATTATTAAAATTCTATGTAATCATGAAGAAGTCCTTTATCTTAAGAGCTGCGGTGGCACAGTGGTTAAAATGCAGTACTACAGGCTACTTCTGCTGATCACCAGCTGCCAGCAGTTTGGCAGTTCAGATCTCGAAAGCTCAAGGTTGACTCAGCCTTCCATTCTTTCGGGGTCAGGAAAATGAGGACCTAGATTGTTGGGGGCAATAGGCTGACTCTGTAAACCACTTAGAGAGTGCTGTAAAGCACTGTGAAGCAGCATGTAAGTCTAAGTTCTGTTGTTATCTTGCTTTTTCCACATCCTGTATTCCTTTTGCACTACTTGAATTAACACTTGGATCAGGAGTGAAATTCAAAAATTTTCCCTACAAGTTCTATGGGTGTGGCTTGGTGGTCATGTGGCAGGGTGGGTGTGGCTTGGTGGTCATGTGACTAGGTGGGCGGGTGTGGTCAACTCAATGTCACTCCCACCCAGTCACATGACAACCCCCCCCCGGCACACCTGCCCAGGTTTTGTGACTCCCGGTGTTTTCTGTGGGAAATGGGTCATGTGACTGGGTGGGCGGGGCCAACTTGATTGGTCTCACCCTTAGGAAGTTTCTCCTTAGTCCAACTCACAATAAAATAGCACTGTTCCAATATTTAGAATAGAATAGAATAACAGAGTTGGAAAGGACCTTGGAGGTCTTCTAGTCCAGCCCCCTGCTTAGGCAGGAAACCCTACAACACTTCAGACAAATGATTATCCAATCTCTTCTTAAAAACTTCCGGTGTTGGAGCATTTACAACTTCTGGAGGCAAGTTGTTCCACTGTTTAATTGTTCTGTCAGAAAATTTGAGGGGCTCCTACAAAATGAGGGAATCAATCTATTTTCCAAAGCACCAAAAGGCACAACAAGAAACAATGGATGGAAACTAACCAAAGAGAGAAGCAACCTAGGACTAAGGAGAAATTTCCTAAGGGTGAGACCAATCAACCAATGGAATAGCTTGCCTATGCTCCATCACTAGAGGCTTTCAAAAAGAGTGAGGGAAGTACTCCCCAAAAGGACAGTGCCAGGAACCACTAAAATAATGCAGAAAATTTTAAACAGCCGTTCCCCTTTAAAAAAAACACAACCCCAAAACAAATGTAGCAGCTGAGAGGGAAACTAAGAGCACCTGCTCAGGCTAATCGAAAGCCTGGGCATGCTGCCAAAAGCCATTAACCCTTCCAACTCTATTACTCTATGTTCTCTATGTTCTAAATTGGGTGCTTCACAGCAGAAGCAATACAGCTGGCTGGACCACACATGCATTAAATTCACGGCCTGTATGATCAAGCTGCAGTAAAAATTCTGACTGGCCCCGCTCCCATCTATTCTCTGCCTCCCGAATCCCGGCTGATCGGGAGGAAAAGGGGATTTTGCAGTAACCTTCTCCTGGATTGCGGAGGGAATGGAGATTTTACACTATTCTTCCCCTGGAGTGGGGTGGGAATGGAGATTTTACAGTATCCTTCCCCCGCCACGCCCACCAAGCCACGCCCACCAAGCCATGCCACGCCCACCAAGCCACACCCACAGAACCAGTAGTAAAAAATTTTGAAACCCACCACTGGTCTGCATCCATCCTTGTCCTTCTTGATCTTGACATGGTGTGTAATCTGGGTTTCTCTTGGAATAGTGACTCCTGCTGAAGGAGCACTTTTAAGCAGCACTTAAAAGAAAAACCAGGTTTTCCTGCTCTTTTCAACTCTCCTAGTTGCACCTGTTGTTACTATGCCTGAAGAATTCATTTTGGGGCTGCATATGCTAATTTTGTTGCAAGGCTCCTAACCATTTCAGGTTAAGCAGCAAAGACTGCTGAGATTTCTATCTGTTTTCACTTGAACATAAATAGAAGTAGCCACTCAGTCGGGAATCTTGCTTTCTCAAGTAGAAAGAATAGTTTATTACATTCCTCTTATTAGTGTTGACATATTGTATTTATCCTAAGACCTGAATGCCAGTGTAATATATGTTTTCTGTGAAGTAAGCCAATTGTACCTAACATTTGAACTTGTTACCATATATGTTACATTATATATTTTGTGCTTCAAAGGAAAGCCAGCTATTTCACACAGAGACTTAAAATCTAAAAACATTCTAGTCAAAAGGAACGAAAGCTGTGCTATTGCTGACTTGGGGCTAGCTGTGAAGCATGACTCCGTATTAAACACAATTGACATACCACAGAATCCTAGAGTAGGAACCAAGAGGTAAGACGGTCAAAAAAGTAAAGTTTTTATAAAATTGTGATATGAGCATAAAACTGAAACGATGTTGGACAAATGATCTCTTGCAAATTGTCCCTCTTCATTTTAGTGATAGGTCACCAGATTTGTGCAGTCTTGTAAATCATTCTCTAATTTTGCTTTTCAACTTTGTTGTTGAGCATTTTTAATTATCACATGATCTGTAGCCCTATATGTCTGGGCAAGAAAGAATCAAAATACTGATAACTTCTCTTTGTCATCCTTCAGAAACTATTTTTTGTATGACTCAGTCTAATTGTTTTGCCTTGGTAAACTCAATAACCTTTTGAAATCAAATAAGGCATTTCCTTAAATAAAAGTCATGGATTGTGAGGAGTTGTGTAGGGTTTATTTTCCCCCAGATCTCGGGAGCAAAAACAGAGCAGTAATTTATTATAAAAGGAACATTATTGCTCATTGCTGGGTATATATCCTATCAAAGCAAATTAATAGCTTCAGAGAGACAAATAGGTGAATGAATCATTCTTCCTATGTCCATCTGAAAGTAATTGAACTTATTGAAACCTTTTTATATAGACAATCAAGTAAACTGAACATGTCTCAAATTGATCTGCACCTGATGTTGGAGTGCATATTTTGTTTTGCATTATGGTAAATTGATGATCAATGTTATCTTTGGGAACCATTTGTTCCTTTCCTATGTGTGTGATTCAGATTGATTATAAGGAAACTGCTAAAGTGGGATTTGGGGAAAAATATGAATAATACTCTGAATTTGTCCTCTCAAATACGTTCACTTACTTAAAAATATCACATGTATTGTCCATTTCAATTATGCTTCCTTTAATCATGCTACTGTATATTGGAAATATTGATTAAATTCTCATTAGCTGTGATTACTTGCAATTTCCCTTTCATCAACAAATCTCTGAATTTCACTGTCTCTTTGATTGAAAGGTACATGGCTCCAGAAATACTTGATGATACAATGAACATAAATAACTTTGAGTCTTTCAAGCGTGCAGATATTTACTCTCTTGGACTGGTGTTTTGGGAGATATCCAGAAGATGCTTAGATGGAGGTATGGCCCTTGTCCCTTATTAAGGTTACTTACACTGAACCAAAGCTTCTGCTTCTTACTGAATTTTTGATTCACTTTGGACATGATGTACATTTAATTATAGAAAAATGTATAACCTGTTTTAAAGAGCCTTTAATATATATATAAATCTAACATATTAACCAAATCAAAAAGCTTAAACAGGATAAATACCAAAATGAACATTCAATTAACTGAGATAGAAATAGAATCAAAAACTTATTTAAAGGTAAATGTTTTCAATTTTCAGAAGCACATGGAATGAAAGCAAGGCAACTCTTATTCATAACAGTTCCAGGTGATTTCAAATCACAGAGAAGTAAATTCTGGCAGCACTGATTTGAACACTAAGGGGAAATAATCTTTTATATTGCTATTACTTCTCTGAATTTGGACAATAGGGGTGGACACTTTTTGAAACTTATGATCTTTTGTCTATGGAGATTCTCAATCATCCAGGCCATGGTTGTCCTAAAGGTGCTTTTCCAAAGGCAATTGGACTTTCTTGGTTGTTTTTATTTTCTTTGAAAACATTTTGCTTCACATCCAAGAAGCTTTTTCAGTTCTAAAACTGAATTGGATAAGAAACGAAACTTTTTCAAAGGAAAAACCAAGGAAGTCCAGTTGCCTTTGGGAAAAGCACCTTTAGGACATAATCTTTGAAGAATAGAAAAGAATACAGTGTGTATGTAGCTATATAAATAGCTTTTCTTTGTATGTTTGAACATTATAAAGCTTTTAATAAGAAATGTTTATTAAAATTGTACACTGCAAAAAACAAAACAAAAAACCTAGCTGTGTTATCTTGGGCCAATCATTTTCTCTCAGTCTTAAGAAAAAAACAAGAGCCATGGTGGCACAGTGGTTAGAGTGCAGTACTGCAGGCTATTTCTGCTGACTGCTGGCGGTAGTTTGGCAGATCGAATCTCACCAGGCTCAAGGTTGACTCAGCCTTCCATCCTTCCGAGGTGGGTAAAAGGAGGACCCAGATTGTTGGGGGCAATATGCTGACTCTGTAAACTGCTTAGAGCGGGCTACAAAGCACTGTGAAGTGATATATATGTCTAAGTGCTATTGCTTATAACAAACCACTTCCAAAAATCTTGCTAAGAAAATTGCAGGGTCTAGTCTAGGGCCTCAGGAATTCTGGCTCAGGAATTCTGGGAGTTGAAGTCCACAGGTTGTAAAAGAGCCACATTTGCCCACCCCTGGTCTGGGCGGTTGCAGGAATCGTCACTGACAAAAAACAAAACAAAATGAAACTGGATTACATTTAGAAACACCATTCTGAAATGTACATGTATAAAATTCTGGTGTTTTTTTTTTCTTAGAACATTTCTACCATCTGTATCAAAGTCAAAGTGAGAATCTCTTTCTGTCACCCAAACATTAAATTTTAACATTGTAGGGTTAGATATAGAGTCCTGTAAAAGATTTGCCATCTCATGTTATGTTACCTTGTAAGTATAGTCTGTTATTACTGTTGTATACAAATGCATCTCATCCTTCTTCCCTCAGACCATATCAAACTTTGATTAATCATCAGCTTTTTTTTTTTTTTTACATAAGAAGGATTGGTAGAGAAAATATGTATCAAATTCAGGATCTTGTCAATGCTACAGATTTATTTATTTATTTATTTATTTATTTATTTATTTGTTTGTTTGTTTGTTTGTTTGTTTGATTTATATGCTGCCCTTCTCTGGAGACTCAGGGCGGCTTGCAATGCTTTTAAGCAATAGCCTTCATACTTTTGTATATACCTGCTTAGTAGGGCTTTTGGCCCCCCCCCAAGCGGTGTTCTTTTTTATACAAAGTCATCTTATTGCCCCCACAATCCGGGTCCTCATATTACCTACCTCAGAAGGATGGAAGGCTGAGTCAACCTTGAGCCTGGTGAGAATTGAACTCGCAGTAATTGCAGGCAGCTGGCAGCTAAATACTACTTTTAACAGTAGTTTAGTCCACTGCACCACCAGGCTTCTTCAAATGAAGATCGTTTCCATTATTTTTAATTTAGCCTAATAGCTCTAAAGATTCTGTTTTATAAAAGTCTGAAGAGATTCTCAGTCATCATAGGTTATGGTTGTCCCAAAGGTGCTTTTTTCAGGAGGCCTGTGGACTTTCTTGTTTTTTCTTTTGAAGATGTTTCTCTTCTCATCCAAGAAGCTTCTTCAGCTGTGACAGGATGGTGGGGAATGGAAGGATTTATATTCCTTGCAGATAGCTGGTAATCTGACAACTATCCTGTCAGAGCTGAAGAAGCTTCTTGGATGAGAAGAGAAATGTCTTTAAAAGAAAAAACAAGAAAGTCCAGTTGCTTCCTGAAAAAGCACCTTTGGGACATTCTGTTTTATAGCTTACATTGTATATATCTCTACAAAAAATTAGTATTTTGGTATAGAATAATGTTTTGAAAGAAAAACAAATGTTGATAGAGAAATCATTCTCTCCCAAACAAGTATCTCCAGATGTGTTCAGCAATATTTCTGAATTTTCTGATGAATTCAGGAAGTTCTACCACCACCATATTTGGACACACCAAGCTTGCAACAGAAAGTTGTGCTAGGAAATTGGTGACTATTATAGTTATAAAAGTTCTAAAACCTGTTTCCTACAACATTTGAAATGATACTAATATGCAAAAATCTATTTGTACCTCATTACTTTCTTAGGAATTTTGGAGGAGTACCAGTTACCTTATTACGATGCGGTGTCTTCTGATCCTTCAATAGAAGAAATGAGAAAGGCAGTCTGTGAACAAAAGCTGAGACCAAATATTCCAAATCAATGGCAAAGCTGTGAGGTAACTTCATCACCTTCATATAAAAAAAAATGTACATTTTCAATATTCTCTAATGGCATAAAAGAGACACAGTGTAAAGCAGGGTTTAAATTTGGGTGCCTTGTACCTTCACATTCCTAACTTTTATCCTAGGATAAGAAAGTGCTAACCTATCTAGAGCAGGGCTGTCAAACTCATGGCCCACAGGTTGGATGCGTCATGTGCTGGCCATGCCTACGCCCGGTTTAGTGAAGAGGGAAAAAAGTCATGATACATCACATGACGATGCCGTGACGATGCGAGTTTGACACCCCTGATCTAGAGGCACCAGGCAGCTGAACAGGCAAATGAGGACACGGACAATTGGAAAGAAGGACGAATAGAGGAGACAGGAGGACACACTATCTTTTTAACTTTCCTTTACAAACTAAAAATATAAAACTGCAAAAAAAAAAAAAGTACTTAGGCCCACATGTATATGAAATTTCTTTTTCCAACATCAGAAAGGCTGGTGTTTCAAGGAAGACAGTATGCTAGTGGCAGTGTGTAACTGATTAAGGCCTTGCCAATTTCAGGCAGCTGTGCAAGCCCCAGGAGAGTATGAATCAACCAATTAAGGTCACAATTAAGGTCAGCAGAACTTATTAACTTGCTGATAGCACTTATTAGGGAAGTGCCGCACTGCAGAGAGAAGGTGATCCGGAAGAGACATCTTGATAGATACTCAAAAAGCTGGATGATATTTGAATTGAAGGTAGATGGAGGACAGAAGGATAAAAAGCGCTGGACAGAGACATTAGAACAAAAAGGAGGAAATACCTTCCTTTTGCCAGACAGCTGGCAACTCCATTTCTATTATTACCCATATTTCTGGAAATATTGGTTGAGGGAAACCTTCAGGCAGCCCTGTTGATCTTCTGTATGAAATGTATGTACAAATATGAGGACAGCAGCACTGGATCAGACCGAAGTCTCGATTCAGCATTTGTTCCCACACAGTTATGGAAAATAGGGGTGGGCAATCTGTGGCTAAACAAGCTCTCGGCACTTGGGACTTCTCTAGGAAGGTGCTCCTAGCAAAGACTGAAGTGCCACCAATTGCCTACAAGCAGGAGATGATGGCCATAACCCTTTTCTGTTCATGTCCTTCAGCAACCGGTATTACAAAGCCAATTGGAGATATGGTTAGTACGTGCTTGAGTAGAAAAGGAGTATAAATTGTATCAACACATACACGGTAATAACAGTGTTTTCCATGAATTTGTCCTTTTAAAGCCATCAAGTTGATGACTATTACTATATCATTTAATCACCAGCTTATCTACTTGTGAAGCTGCTATTTATTTTTTAGTTTATGAATCTAGACATGGATCCAAAGAAATAGGTGGAGGAATGAAAGTCACATTCATTTGAACAAATAAATGTTTCCTATTTTTCATTGGTTTTCTTCTTTCTCAGGCAGTCTTTTTTGATGTTGATGTTGGGGTGTCAAACTCGCAGGCCCAAGGGCCGGATGTGTCAGTCACACGCTGGCCACCCCCATTTTAGCAAAGGGGGAAAAAGTCACGATACGTCACGTGACAACAACGTGACGCCATGAGTTTGACACCCCTGTTCTAGAGTATATCCCAGCTCTCACCAGAATAATATTTTGGGTACACAGGAAGTTGCTGAGGGAAGGATGAGACAAGTATGTTCATTCCATGAGCAGAATGAAAATTAGGGTCTAAGCCAAAATATGTGAATAATAAATATACATTGATCAATATTTTTGAATTGTTTTCTTGAGGCCTTGCAATATTTATACCATACCAAAAACATTGCAGTGGGAATAATTTTCTTTATTCTTGGTTTGTCCTTTCTTAAGGCGCTCAGACTTATGGGCCGAATCATGCGTGAGTGCTGGTTCACCAATGGGGCAGCTCGACTGACAGCACTTCGTATTAAGAAGACAATTTCTCAACACTGTGGACAAAATTCCAAAGCTTAAATTTACATGCTTTGTAAAAATGGAACAGGAAAATGCATTTATGTCTTTGGTTTTTGTATTGTTTTTGATTTTGCTCTACCTCATGTGATACTCAGAATTGTACTGCAAAGCCCAAATCCCAGAATACTAGAATGTAGCTTCATTGGTTCTTCACATTTCATCAGAATTAACTTTTGGTTGCTGGGTGATGTGTGTCTTGTTTTGGCTCGTAAAGGAAAAATGATTTATTTATTTTATGGGCATAATAATCCATGAACATGCTCCACAGTGTTGACATGATACTTCCTGCCATGGCAGCAGAAGCTCCTGAATTACAGATAATATATGAGAAGTGAACATCAGCGAAAGTTTTTCACCATGGCAGAGCCCTGTTCTCGTTTGTGTTGGTGGTATGCATGAATTTGATAAACTAAACCAAAAGTGGGCAACTTGTGAGCTGATTTTATCACACCTTCCGTTCCATCTAACTTCACTCTTATACAAAAACAGCTTCCTTTTTGGTAAAAACTGTCTCTTCATCCCCCTGGTTTTTTTAAAAAAAGGTTGAAAATAGATTTCTTGATCTATTTCTGGTGGAGCCCACTGCATTCTGGAAAGTTATCTCTGAAAGGGTGCAAACACAATGTTGTTTACTCTTTGAAGTAAATTCTGAAGATATTAAATACATTGAGTCTTTATTAAAATATATTGGCCACTGGCTTATTTAAAAAAAAAATATTTGAAATGACCGGCTTTTCAGCTCACTTCAAGAACTGAGAAATGAGCCATAAGAACTCTTTAGAGCTTGAGCCTGGAGATCTCTGGAAGATACGGTTGACTGCAGGCTTCCTCAGAAGATTTCCACAGGCTGTGTCTTCATGTTAATTACACTCACTTGGTACTTTTTTTTTTTTTACTTTTTATTTTCAGCCAGCAATAGTGCCTGCCTTACTTTGTAGCAACCGGGGGAGGGGACACACATACAAATATCTGGCAGTGTTTCCATCTTTTGTTCAGGAAGCCCCTAGAGAAAAATGAGCTCCCTCCCCACTGGTGGCATTAAAAATCCCCCTTAAAGAATCCATAGTATTTTATGACCAAAGGGGAAAAAAATGCAAGCACACACTCTTGACATTGCCGATGTAAAGAATCAAAAAGAGATGCTACCAGTCACAGCTGATATGATTGGGCTAAGCGAGCCAAAGGTTTGGCTTTTCTGCATTCCTAAGGAAATAAGCAAGTGAGAAACTGAGACCAAACTATCAAGGCATTTTTCACAGAACTTTGTAGAATAGGCGGTGCAATATGTGTGTGTGTGTGTGTGTGCACATGTATATATGTGTAATGTGTATTTGTGTGTATATATGCACATGTACACATTGATTTTTATTAATCAAATAAGAGTAATTAAATAGAACATGCTTACTGTGAAAGTTGTTCTTATATTATATCTTACATTATAGATGATCATTTATTTAAAGCTTTAACCACCACATTATAGTTAAATGTTGGAAATTCTATATGTTACCTGTCTTTTGTCTTCAAATTTCAGTCTGTGAACTAAATGTTCTAAATCTAAAGCAGTATAAACGCAACGGGATAAATCTGGGATGTCTGTTTTGTGGTGCCAAAATTTAGAACAAAGTCACAAAGTCCTAATGTAAAATACGTGTAATGCTTACCTGACTTTTCACAAAGTGTGAGAGTGTTTGGCTAAAAAGAAATAGCATTTTACACAACTCTGTTTTGATCTATAATTTTGAAAAAAAAATCACTAAAAGCCCTGAAGTCTAAAGAAATGTCAAATAATCACAAGTATCAGTATTAAACTTCTGTAAATTTGAAAAAAATAATAATTGATGTATATATATTTTAATATGTCATTCAGTTGTGAAGATGCAATTTTGATGTTTATTCTACAATCAGAACTGGATAGACATGCCTTTTTTTATAAGCTAATTGTGTTAAGATCTTCTCATGCAGCCAATGTTTCCCATGTGACCAAAGCTATAGGAAGCTGTAGGAAGATAACATGGGAACCATAATTCTCATATGTACCCATGGTTCACATGAATCCAATGTGGCATGGAATCGCCAAATTTAAGGCAGCTCTTGGGTGATTATGGTTTGCAAGTGAATGGCCTCAATTATTCCACTTCATAAACTATTTGAATAGAGGAAACTAGTAAGACCAAATTGTTGCTGGTATTTCTAGTTGTAACTGTCTCTGTGCATGACAGAGAGGGTGAACTGTTCCCAGTCAGCCACCCATGATATATTCAGCCTGAAATCCCAAATGTGAGTCTCCAAATTTCTAGGAAAAAGAGCTGTAGCTTAAGAGGTAGAGCATGTATTTTGTATGGAAGAAGCCCCAGATTCTAGGGTGGGGCTAGAAAGAGGAGAAAATGCTACCCTGAGGTTGAAAACAGTATCACTTTATTTTATTATTTCTCTGTCTTATAACAGGAATCAAGCCAGCCATCTCAGGGATGTTCATATTAATTTTGGGGTCTTAAAATGCAAATAAATATGTTGACTTCTATCTTTAATTTTTTTTTCTAAAATCTATATGCATCCCTAAGCCAAGATTTCAACAGTGTAGTCAACCATGAAAATAGGATTTTTGTTGATGCTGACTCTTGTGATGTGAGTGTAACCTGTGCCAATACAATAGTAAATGGAAATCTATAAGTTGCCTATTGTCATCCTCACCAGTATGGCAATCATTCTTTCAGCTTAAACTAGCTTTTAGCATAATCCTAGCCAATTTGGGCTGAATTCCGTAGCTAAGCAAGAGCAGCCCTGGTTAGCACTTAAACTGGAGCCAATGGCAGGCTGTACATCTCCCCCAAGGGAAAGCGGTGACAAACTAATACTGTAACAATCCCAAGAAAACAGTATGGATGTAATCTCTAGAGATTATGGCTTATATCTAAGAAATGTGTGTCACATATTCGTGCATAGTGATTGATGATGTTCCTTGTGTTTTAATTTAAATAGTCATCTAAATGCCCTTGTGATTGATCATCTCTAAATGGTCCATTTATATACACAAGAATCATTTGATGCTACATTTCAAAAGTGATAAACAAGCAAAGAATGGTATGAACTGATTCTGAGTCACCAATGATGACTTTTTGAGACGTAGAAATAATATTCCTAGATTTTCTGTAGTGTTACGCTTCTATTTGTCATTTTGCCATTGTGCTTACATTTTAAAGTTAGAATAACATTCTAATTGCTGAAATTGATATTGTTATGTGAAAATAACAGGAGTGAGAAATGACTTGCATGTGACAATTGTTGCTCATATTCTTTGTTCTATAGGGACTGCTGATAAAGCCTGAAATTGATAAAGTGTGCAATTCTCACATGAATAATTACTGTAGTTGCTTTACAGTTAACAAAATGCTGCCACAAACAGGGAGTTTGTGTTTTAAAATATTTTGTTATGGATAAGCTTGTGCTTTTCTTACTTGTATGAAGTAATCCATAAGAATCAAGCACTTTCCATTAATTATAGGCACCACACTTTTATGGCTTAGGCAGAAAATAAGTATTAAATGCATAAAATAGGTAGTACTCTGAAATGTGATGAAAGTGCAATACATTAAATCTGAAGAAAATATGTGTATCCGAGTTGTGCAAATTTATATAAGAAGAAATAAGTTCAAATGATGGTTGATGATGGAGCAGAGCTCCATTCTAGAAGGGGAAGATGTAAATTTTCAATTGCAAATGCCTATAAAGAAAATGTGTTAAGAATAGATTTCTCTTAAACTATCTTTAAATAAAATTATGGAACTGAATGATGAAATAAGTTTTCATACTATAACTTGCTTTAACCTAGTGTATACTATCACAAGAAATATTTATTTTTTAAACAAAAGCTTTTACTATTGCTGCTACTGCCTCTAGTTGTAAATAATATATCTGTTGTATTTTTGTATATTATTTTTGCCTCTCAAAGCATATTTTTAAAGTGTCAATTTTACAATTTTAATTTTTCTTTGCTGTTTTTGTGAAGCACAATTTCTTATAAACAATAAAAAATCAATGTCTGAGTAATGTTATCTGGTTTGCTGCTGATACATTTAAGCACAAATAATTAAAACATAAGGATCCATTCCAGCCCAGAATTCAGACTTTTTCCCCAGTAAAACAAAAGTCATATTTTCATTACTTTTTAATTAATAAAAAGAAAAAAAAGAGCAAAATACAAAAATAATGATGATAGATCCGTTTATCTTTCCAATGCTCCAAGATCAGCCTTTTACTAGTAGTAAGGACACAAAGAATCCATTTAAATTGTCAGATTGTCAAATTCCACATACTAGGTTCAAAACAATATTGTCCTCTGAATATCTTAGCTTTTGTTGCAGAATCATATTTATATAATCCATTACTTTCTCCAAAAATATGCTAAGTATAGCACATTGTAGAAACATTTTAAAGAAGCATTGTCCTTGTTACATCTCCAACAAAATGCTGGTTTTGACAGTCCTTTTTTTATACAAACATAATGAAGTCCAGTGAATTCTAAATATTTTTTGTTCTATAAGTCGTAATTGGAAGTCCATTGACATGTTTATTATAGAAATTAAGACATTGTCTAGGCAATATAGGAACCTCCAATTCTTTATTCCACTCATTTCTTGACATCTGCATATCAAATAGATTTACTGATAACAAATATCTAAAAACTAAGACTGGGTATTTTTTTTTAATTTTAAAGGATTAACAAGTTGTTTTAATATCTCAGGTGTCTCAGAAGTTGTAAATGCTGTTAACAAATGTTGTAACTTGGCGCAGAGTATGTTGAAAATTGGATGTCATCATCTAACAGTTGGTCCAAATCAATATCCCTGCTTCCACCCAGTTTTTCCATATCACCATTTTTAAGTCATGCCAGGTTGACTTTATGGGGAAACCCAACCTTAAAAACTGGGAGTAAGGAAAACATTTATTTGCTTATATGTTCTTGGGGTTTTGTCTCAAAGTAAAAGTAAAAGAGAGGAGGGGGTCAAGCTGTTTTCCAAAGCACCTGAAGGCGAGACAAGGAATAATGGATGGAAACTGACCAAAGAGAGATTCAACCTAGAAATAAGGAGAAACTTTCTGACAGTGAGAACAATCAACCAATGGAACAGCTTGCCTTGGGAAGTGGTGGGAGCTTCCTCACTTGAGATTTTCAAGAAAAGATTGGACTGCCATTTGTCAGAAATGGTGTAGGGTCTCCTGCTTGAGCGGGGGGTTGGACTAGATGACCTATAAGGTCCCTTCCAACTCTGTTAATCTGTTAGATAATTCCAGTGATGGGAGGAGCACTCGGGGCTGTGACTCCTAGACTCAGGAACAACATCAGAGTTCTCTGTCCAGAAGAGGGCAACGCTAGGAGTGAAGAAGATAACATCACCTATAGGAGTGAAAAGGGATTTTTTTTTTGCACAAATATATGTGCACCCATAGAGAGAAACTCCCACAAAATACCCTCAAACCAAGCCAAAGATATCTCAGATATCTTGTTCTTCTATGTATCTAAGACAGAGGTCTTCAAACTTGGCAGCTTTAAGACCTGTGGACTTCAACTCTCAGAATTATCCAGCCAGCATAGCAGAATTCTGGGAGTTGAAGTCCACAAGACAAAGCTGTCACGTTTGGATCTAAGATATACTCAAAATTGCATAGTCCTTTCAGATGTTCATCTGTTGGGATAAACCTGATGCCCTGTTTGATCTTGCATACTGTATGGCTGCTTTCTATGAATTATATGAATGAATTACATGGTTGTGGGGAGGAAAAAAAATGCTTCCTCATTCCCTGAATCCATGAATGGGATATTATGTTTCCCTAAAGGAATATGGGGACGTAGACCAACTCTCTAAACAATATAATAGCTGTTTAAACAATTAAAGTATAAATAAAAGCAAGATTGCAGAAGAAAGAGCATCCATCATCAAAAACCTTTGCCTTGGCAGACAAGCAGGTTGAACTCTTCATATAATGGAACATTTTTAAAAAGAATGACAAGCACTTCTTGAGAGCCAATCGTTAATAAGAGTGAAAATTGTGAAACTTGAGAATACGAACAGGAAGCTGGGGGTAGGGTGGGATTGCTTTAATGAAATAGCAGAAGTGCTGCATTTACCGTGACATCCAAAACATTGTTTCCAAAAAGTTTTCCAAGTATGCACAGCCATTATTATCCTGAAAAACACAATGGCATATTATTCAGGTAAAGTATTAGTAACATCCCTCCAATAAGCTATTAATTCCATTTGGTTTAATTACAAATAATTCAAAATCATATGTAGGAAGTGCAGGATAAGTATCACAATACTTGGAATAAGTTGCATCTTTTACCTAGTAGAGTATGAAGCTTTCTCCTTCAATGTAAAGTTTCTCCTTCAAAGTAAACTTTTTAAGGATAATACCTCTGCATTGGACTATATTTATTTATTTATTTATTGGTTCGATTTACATGCCACCCTTTTCCAGAGACTCAGGGCAGCTTACAATGCATTAAGCAATAGCCTTCATACTTTTGTATATAGCTGCTTAGTAGGGCTTTCGCCCCCCCCCTAAGCGGTGTTCTTTTTTATACAAAGTCATTTTATTGGCCCCCACAATCCGGGTCCTCATTTTACCTACCTCGAAAGGATGGAAGGCTGAGTCAACCTTGAGCCTGGTGAGATTTGAACTTGCAGTAATTGCAAGCAGCTGGTGTTACTTTACAGTGCTTTAGTCTGCTGGGCCACCAAGGCTCCATATATAGTCCAGAAAGCTTTGGTAGAATATATGTGTTATTGTTTAAAGTGTCTGCCACCAGACAGATATGCCTCACATGGCTCAGTAAATTATGGTTTATTTATTGTTTGCTGACTGGATTTATGGGATATGCAAAACCATAAGCCCAGGTTTTTTTTTTAATTGGGTCCAGATAACATGTTATACCAAATCCAAACAAATCATATTTTGTGGTTTGTTGACTGAAGTGTATCTGGTTTTGCTAGAATAGACCAACATGGCTATTTTTCTGGAAAAAGTGTACATTGACTCTGATCTGCACCGGCTGGAAGAGTTGGGGGTGGGAGGCACTGTGTTGCGGTGGTTCTCCTCCTTTCTCTCCGACCAGTTGCAGTTTGTGTTGGCAGGGGGGCAGAGGTCGACCTCGAGGCCTCTCATCTGTGGAGTGCCGCAGGGATCGGTCCTCTCGCCCCTTCTGTTCAACATTTATGTGAAGCCGCTGGGCGAGATCATCCGTGGCTTTGGGGTGAGATACCACCAGTATGCTGATGACACCCAGCTGTACATCTCCACCCCAGGCCACCCCAACGATGCCCTTGAAGTGATGTCCCAGTGCCTGGAGGCTGTGCGGATCTGGATGGGGAGGAACAGGCTCAGGCTCAACCCTTCCAAGACTGAGTGGCTGTGGCTCCCAGCATCCCGATATAGTCAGTTGACTCCATCGCTGACTATTGGGGGTGAGTCTTTGGCCCCCACTGAAAGGGCTCGCAATCTGGGAGTCCTCCTGTATAGGCAGCTGTCTTTGGAGGAACATCTAACGGCTGTTACCAGGGGGACCTTTTATCAGGTTCGCCTGATTCGCCAGTTGCGGCCCTTTCTTGATCGGGATTCCTTGTGCACAGTCACTCACGCCCTCGTCACCTCTCGCCTTGACTACTGCAATGCTCTCTACATGGGGCTCCCCTTGAAGAGCACCCAGAGGCTACAGCTGATCCAGAATGCAGCAGCGCGGGTAGTGATGGGAGCAACATGGCGCTCCCATGTAACAATGCTCCTGCGCGAGCTGCACTGGCTCCCGGTGGTCTTCCGGGTGCGCTTCAAGGTGTTGGTTATCACCTTTAAAGCGCTCCATGGCATAGGGCCTAGCTATCTCCGAGACCGCCTGCTGCTACCGACGACCTCCCATCGACCCGTGCGCTCCCACAGAGAGGGCCTCCTCAGGGTGCCATCAGCCAAACAATGTAGGCTGGTGGCCCCCAGGGGGAGGGCCTTCTCTGTGGGGGCTCCTACCCTCTGGAATCAGTTGCCCCCGGAGATAAGAAGAATCCATGACCTCAATGCCTTCCGTCGTTCCCTGAAAACCTATCTTTTTCAGCAAGCCGGGTTGGCTTAGAAGAAATTTTTAAATTCTTTTAATTAGTTTGTGATTCTTAACTTTCGGGCCAAAATTTATATATATTTTTAAATGTTTTAATATTTGTATTCTATGTTTTTTATCTTGGCTGTACACCGCCCTGAGTCCTCAGGGAGAAGGGCGGTATATAAATTGGAAATTAAATTAAATTAAATTAAAATCTGAACTTCATAGTAGCAACATGGAAACCTTTCTGCTGAAGGGCCATCCAAAGGCTGCTGCTTTGGGGGTTAGTTTCTAGTTTCAGCCATAAAGGAGGCAGAAGAATTGGATGATGTTCTTCCACTTTGAGCAGAACCCTCTTCCCCCTGTTGACTTTTCATAGAGTGGAGACTTCACGGTATTCTTCTTTGAAAATGTTCATGCTGCCTTGGACTCCGGCTAAATATTGGTTGATCAAATCACAATGTGCTAAAGAAGAAACTAGCCTTCCAAGGCCACATATGGAGTTGAACCAATGCTGCCTTTAATCTGAAATGGTGTCCTTTATGTCCAGTGATTGCCTTTTTAACTGGTCGGGTCACAACCAGACTTGCCTCCTGCACATACAAGCAGAGTTGTAGCCCCTTTCTCAAACAAAAAATGTGATAGATTTTCACAGGTCACATTCTTGTTCAAAGAATGGAGGAGCCTTGGTAGTACAGTGGTTTAATGCACCCTGTTATTAACACAGCTGCCTGCAATTTCTGCAGGTTCGAATCTTACCAGGCTCAAGGTTGACTCAGCCTTCCATCCTTTCTAAGGTAGGTTAAATGAGGACCCAGTTTGTGGGGGCAATAAACTGACTTTGTATAAATATACAAAAAGTATGAAGGCTATTGCTTAATGCATTGTAAGCCGCCCTGAGTCTCCGGAGAAGGGCGGCGTATAAATCAAATAAAATAAATAAATAAATAAAAAAATGACTGACAG